GCTATTAAACTCTCACAGGTTTTGTAGACATCATCCCTTGTTTCCTTGGTTTGTATTTTCTGTTCACCCATGGCTGCTTTAATCACATCAACATCTAGCTGGGTAAACTGCAAACCCATTTTTATCTCCTGTATTTCTCTGGTCATGTCGTCGAGTCTCTTATTTGTCTCCATAAGTAGTTGCACAAAACCTTTGAAGTTATCTTGTTGTTGGCTCAACAGTGCGGTGTACATCTGCTTCTGCTGACTCAACATCTCTGTTACTTGCGCCGCTGAAATATAATCCTCTTCTGCTTCAACATCCTCATTCGCTTCTGATTTATTAGCTCTTTTCCCTCTTGGAGGCATTTTAATAGTTGTAGAATTTGTTCAAGGACTTGAAAATGTAGAAGATGTGAAAAATCGTAGAACAGACAAGAGGAGCAGTAAAGACGTCTGCTCTCGCTTGCAACCCGGAAGTTCATCTTCAAACAGTGATGTAGAGTTAAAGCATTTGTTGATGGGTCAGTTCTGTTGTTTTTGTATTATTTTGTAGTGCAAGTGTTTGTATTGTTGGGTTCCTTTGCATATACAGGGCAGGACTTACCTACATTTAGCATTTTGTGCATATTTTTTTAAATAGCTACTAATTGTACTGCCCCAAATACTAAAATACCTTGTTCTGCCAATAATGTATTTGTTAGGTTAATCTCTAACTGCTGATGGCCAGAGTCCTGTTATATTGTTGTGTTCAGCAAAGTCTTGTGATCTGAAAGTGGAGCTACTCTGGGGGACTGTACTTGTTGAGACCCAAGGCAGTGAAATCATGTAGTGTGAAACTGGACAACAGAATACCTGATATTTTGCAATGTAGATGTATACCCTGCAGCTTTTCCACTGTTTGTGATTATGACTCATGTATACAATATATTACAGTTTGGATGAAGAGAATGTATGGTAATATATCTTACCATCATTCCTGGTTAATTTCCAATGGGTGTAACACACATTAAAGGGTGGAATAACTTCCTTTTTTCCTCAGTTCTGTCTAAAGGAAACAGTAAGTCATCACTCAAGGGTTTTGTGGTTTAATAAATTCATAATGCAACTTCTTCAGTGTTTACTCCTGGGCTAAACTTTTTTTTATTACCCTCTAGGTTCTTCGCCCTGACCACACTGCGCCTGCTGTTCCTGCTGGCTTCTGGTCTGGCTGTGATTGTTTGTGTGGATACCTGGAGGAGCAAGATCTGGCCAGAGATTAGAGGTACCAGGCTTGACTTTTGTTACATACTCATGGTACAAAGTCTGAAATAGTAGAGAGGATTTAAAATATTGTACACTAAGTTCATTATTGTATATTATATTGATGTGCATTAGGGTATGAAGTGTATTTAATAAGTAATGTTCTCTCTTTCTCTCTCTCTCTCTCTCTCTCTAAAGTCAGAAACCTGGATGAATCAGAAAATGAGAGGTTTGTTACTTTAGCCCCAGTTTTGTGTTGACTGAAACCACAAGGGAGCATTCTGAGATAAGGTGTATGTAATAATGTCTGTCTGTCTAGCTGGGGTCTGGTGCAGCCTGGAATCCTCAGTGTGCCTGAACTGTGCCACCACATAGCTGAGGCCTGGGTCAGCGGAGCAGTTCTCAGCTCCAGTGTGGTGCAATACAAACGACACAACCCTGGCAAGGTGAGGACCACACACAATATAGAAAACATCTATTGTAGGATCTTTTGCATCTTCTGTAGGTATAGAAACTCACCTGTATCTAGGGTCCCCTTTCCTATTTCAATTGCCTGTGGCTCTACTCTATCATTATATGACTCTGTAAATTAGTAACTGGCTTGATTCTTTGTGTGTTTTGTTGCTGTCAGTTTTGCATCCTGACCTGCGGCGTGTTCTCCTGTTTGGCAATGGTGGGACACTACATTCCCGGTTTGGTGCTCTCCTACTCTGCTGGTGAGTTCAGTCTGTTTAACCAGGCCTAATACAGATCTCAGCCCTTTCATCAGACCAAGTTGGCAGGGAAACTCAGCCTGACTTGATCCTTTTAAAAACGCATGGGTGGTGAAACCAGATCTGTGGGGCCCTAGCACCGTGGCCTATCTGTGAGGTAATTAAAACCAGAATGAGAGACACAAGGTAGAAGGGAAGACAGAAAGCTAAGGAGGTCATGCTTAGATGAGACTAATCTGCTAACCTCCAACCAGTGTATGCTGGTGAGCCTGGGAGCCAAGACCTGCCAGAGCATGTGAGTGGAGCAAAGCGAGAGCAAATGTGGAGTGGGAGCAAAGGGCATGAGTGAGGAGCAGAACTTCTCACCTCTCCACTCCGCTCATATAGTATGCTCTGGCTCTGACATCTGAAGCAGCTGCTCCCTCTGCTTCACTTTCTGTATCTCTGCTAATGCTAACACAGGCTTGTGAGTGTCTGTACGGAAGAGAGATGTACATAGCTTTCCAGTTCTTATCACATACTCTAAGCCACTCAACAGAATAATTACTAATAGTTTGTTCTTTTGTCCTTTAGTGTTAGCTATTCTCCTGGCACCTCTGGCAGTCTATCACAGGGTTTTTCAGCATGTGAGCGTGAAGCTGGAGCCAGTCCTGCAGCGGCTGGACTTCAGCGCTCATGGATACATGATGTCAAAGCCCATTGATAATCAGTGTAAGACGTACATCAAGTTTATATAGCAATACAAATAATTTGAACTCTGTAAAAATTACACATTTCTGCCTGCTGATTAGAAACATCTAACTAAATACAGCCAAAGACATGTCCCATGTATGTAAATGTAAAAGATTGATAAATCTAAATCCTTTTTTTCTTGATTTATTTATAATTGCAAAGCCTTCAGTCTCATTTATATACCAACAACACTTTGGAGCAACACAAGTTAACCCATCTATCTGTCCCTCTATACCTGGTTTTAACAAATTCATGTATTGTCATCATGTTTGGCCTTATCACAGAATGTCACTACATCTTTATTGTAATCACTCCTAATACCAGTTGTCCTGTATACTTGTATAACTATCTATACAGCAAATATGAATTAGTAGCAACTTTCACTGAGTAGTAATCTTGTGTTGTCTGTATGCTCATCTTTCCTCGCTGCAGTCCTGCGGCGGCCTTTCTATGGTGCTGCCTCAGGTGAAGCCAGTGACAGTGAGGAGGAGTTGGCTGCTTTCTGCCCTACAGTAAGTGTGTTTCACTACCCACATCTTTCAGTGCACACACTCATGATTTGTGTGTGTCGAGACATCTCAACCTCACTACTTTTAAGTACACCATGATGGTTAATTTCTCTGTTCTGTACATAGTGTTAGCACCTGTGCCATATTGTGTATCCTATGAAAAAATGAGCTGTTGGGCAATTTAAATAAGGCACTCAAGCACATCTGAGTCACTTCCTGTTGAGGTTAGGAGGCTCACATAATGTTATGTCTCTCTCATGTTGCTGTGTGTGTTTGACTTGGTTTATGTTGGGGTGGCTGTGGCTCATGAGGTAGGGCAGTCGTCTCCTGACCAGCAAGTTGGTGGTTCGACTCCCGGTCTTCCCACATGCCTAAGTGTCCCTGAGCAAGACACTGAACCCCGAATTGCTCCCGGTGGCTTGACTAGCGCCGGTGCATGGCAGCCTGTCGTCATCGGTGTGTGAATGGTGTATGATCTTCTGTAAAGTGCTTTGGCCAGTGCAACGCACTGTGAGAAAGCGCTATATAAAATACAGTCCATGTTTGTGGTGAAGCCTGCAGAAGATATGAGAGTAAACAGATTAGCATTTGTAAGCCAGAGCAAAAAAAAAGAGAGGGTTTATAAAAAGAGCTTGAATAGAGTCAAAAAAATGTAGGTAAAATTCTTAACTTTTTCAATCTGCTGTCTCTCCTAGTTTGATGATGCTATTGCTGCGAAGGAACTTGCACTGACTGACTCTGAGCACTCTGATGCTGAGGCGTCCTACACTGATAATGGAACATTTAACCTATCACGTGGCCAGACTCCACTTACAGACGGCTCTGAGGGTAAGTACACAGGTATTGCAGATTTAGTTTTTTGTTATTCCCTGGGTTGCATTTGTCTCTGACCTTATTCCTGACTGTTTTTTTTTTTTCTTTTCAGATCTTGACAGACACAGTGACGCTGAGGAATCCTTTGCTCAAGATCTCCCTGACTTCCCCTCCATAAACCCTGATGCCACTCTGATGGATGATGATGATGACACCAGCATCGGGCTACCTAGCCTGGGTCTGTCTGGGCTAGCTAGTCACCAGGCTTCAGTGCTGGATATGGATGCTCATTTGGACTCTGACCAGGATGATCTGGATGCAGAAATTTCTCTCAGCGGCCTGCCACCTGCCTCTGACTTCACTGGAGACTTGGCCGGAGTCATTGCTAGCAGCATGGTCCAGGCAGCACTGGCTGGGGTGATGCAACCTCGAATTCCTACCCAGCGTAGACCAGGCCCTCCCAAAGCTGGGGGCCACCGAAGTTATCGCAAACAATCCAGTTCTGAGCTGGACACAGACTTAGATGTAGAAGACTTTGAAATGCTGGATCAGTCTGAACTGAGCCAGATGGATGCCCTTGGAAGAGGAGGGGGTAGTAGACAGGGAGAGAGCCAGGGGTCTAACTTCTTGTCTAGCCTGCTGGGTAAACCGCAGTAAGATGTGCACGTGTGTGTGGTGTGTTTATATCTGTGTGCGTGACTGCGACTTCATCTGCAGTGAACATCGATGAGCTGTGAATGTGCATTGTGAAGGATGATTTATAGGTTTTTACAGCCCTGCTTCTTACATTATTGGCATAAGTTCATCACTGTGAAGGAATTAATTTTTTATATCTTTTCAAACTTTTTCTCTCCTACTTTTAAACCCTGATAATTTGGAAAACTTTTATTTTGTAAGCTGAGCAATAGGAAACACAACAAACCATAAAACAAATTCATACATTCACTAAACCAGCATTACTGAACCTCCGCTTGTAACTTTATGCAGCTCAAAGTTACAAGGGTACTTCCTGGTGACTATAAATGAAGAGCAACAGGAGGTCTAAATATACAGGGCTATTTAACATGGGACCAAATATGACATTCCTGTTAGTTGAGCCGAGCCATGCTGTTTTGATAAAGCGATTATGGAGCAGCATTTCATGATATAACGTTCTTTATTGAGTAGAATGGTTGAGAGATAAACCAGCACCCAGATTTTGCCAAAGAACAGCCGTTTGTTTCTGTTTATATCAGTTCTCTGCTGCCCTGTCTTTTAACATGTGGGTATAATCTGTTAGAAGATTTATTTGTTGTTACAGGTATAGAGAGATAAAATTACAATTTTTTAACACTTGTAAGCAGTTGTGGATCTGGATAGTAATTCTTCTCTACAGTGAAGATGGATAATATTGACTTTACTTAATATTTATTTTCCTGCTGTCTGACATATGAAGGCATTTTGATCCATTTTTTGGGGCTTATCCCTTTTAACAAATGGCCCATTACACTCCCATGAAATCTGAACCAGAGGCTCATTTAATGTAATGTTTGTTGTTTGCTGTATTTATGAACTCGTGCCCCATGAGTTCTTTTTTCCCCCTTTGTTTGAATAACTTCAGGATATTTCACATTTTCCTGCCCTTTAATACAGCTCATACCATATTGTGTCCATATTTAATACCTTGAATGAGCCATCAGGTTTGTGTTTTACTTTTCAGAAGTAATATTTAAGCAAATTTTCTTTATATCTTTTATCATCTTTGTATTTTAGTCATGGTGAACTTTTTAAGAGACAAGTCAAATATTCTTCAATTCATAAATCTTTTACTATTTTAATGGAGAAAGATGTTTACATCAAAATTTGGTATAGAAAATTATCCTTACAGCCTGCTGTTAGTATGTAAGGGTTTAAAGTGGCTGTCGTGTGCTGATGGACAAACCACTGTCAATATGTCAAAATGTTGCAGTGGAAATGGCACTTCACGCTTAAGTGAGCCACACTGGGGATTTATTGAAATGCATTTATCAAAGGTTTTTGATCATGTGTTGAGTAGAAAATCATAGCTGCAAAAGATGAGCACAATAGAAATAAACCGCTGGATCCATGCTGTGAAGTAGGAAATGTGTGCACTGATTGCTGGGATGCTGTGGCTAAAGAAAAGAAGGAGAACTTCATACCATTTTGTTTAACTTGGGTCGACCACCTCAGTTATCAAGAATGTTTGCTGCTCTGTGAAGTCACTTCCTCAGTGTGAGCAATCTGTAGTCACTTTGATAGTGTCATGTGCATAGTTGTGTATTTTGTTCATCATAGCTGGTTTTGATATGCTTTGATGTGCAAATCATATTGAATAAAATATTTGCAATTAAGTCTGTCTTTATTGTTTCAAGTGTCAGGTAGTACAATGTGCTGTAATTTCAACTCTTTAGAATGCAACAAATTCTTTGTAATATAAGCTTTGGAACAACTTTACTGAGAACATTATTCATGACACAATTTAACACTCACAGTATACGAAGTATTGAACATAGTGTGTAACAATAGCTCAAATCTTGTTTTGAGAATAAAACAGTCCGTCTTTATTCTCTTTGTGGCACGCAGATCCATGTGGTCCAACATTCAGGGTCTGTTTCCAGTGTCTTTTTGTCTCTCCTTGTCCTATAGGCTACTTGGTAAAAAATAAACAAATGTGTTTTTCTGCTACTATGCAGATAATGTTTGTATTTTATGTTCTAACACATTGGCTCACATTTGGAGTTTGTTATATATAAACTTCATATGAAGCCTCTTTAAATTCATCTTATATTAATGCAGTACACTGCACTGTATTTTAGGCAGATGTTCAGCTTCTTACCAGTCATCACACAATATATATTAGTGTATGGTTAAAATCCTCTAGAGTGGTCTTATTGTGAAGAGGTAAAACATTTACCTTTGTAAAACCCACAAAGCGCTCATGAGCGAAGGCTGTCGAAACCACTGACGTAGTGCGGTAGAGATTTCCACTGTTGTGATGCATCTTAAAACATAGACGATCTTTTCTGTGACGCCTATGTCCCGCGAAATTTGGCTTGGTAAACTAAACTCAGTTTGGACTCGGTAGAAATGAGTAAAAAAGACAACGGTAAGTCTACAGTTAGTTTCATGTCAGACGGCGTTGAATTTAGCAAGTAAGCTGGCGTGTGTGACAGTCTTATCGAGCGAAAACGTCCAGCAGGTGTTAGCTACTTAGCTAAAACCTAACGTTAGATACGCACATACATGGCACGCTAATAAGCTAGCTGACTTCAAGGCTTAACATTAACTATTTTTAGTTTTATAAGATTACTCCAAATACGCCCACAGCCCAACCTGACACATTTGCTTTAAATAAGATGCATGTTATTTGTTGCGTAGAATAAAGATTACCTTTTTAAAAGAGGACACTGTATCGGAAACGCTCAAGTACCGAACACTCGACAGTGTAAGACAAACAATGTAATAATGAGGACAACAGCCACATAGTAAAAACAAGTATAGTTGCAATATCTAGCAGTGTTTGAGGTATATCAAAGTATAATGTTATAGTGAAACGTTTCACACACAAATATGTCCAACTGGTGCTGTACATGTTTGTGTGTGCTTTTGCTATTTGCTATTATCCACAGGTGTCGCACTCATCCTTGCCTATCTGAATGAGAAAAACCGTCCCTACAGTGCTCAGGATGTTTTCTGTAATTTACAAAAGCAGCATGGATTGGGCAAAACAGTAAGATTTATTCATACGGTATAGCGTCATGTGTATCTTGCCCACCTTCTCTTCTGCATATTTGCAGTTTGTGGAATTGGGGACTGACTGCATATTTGTGATTTACCAGGCAGTGGTCAAAGCCATGGAGCAGCTGGCTCTGGAGGGGAAGATAAAGGAGAAAACATACGGCAAGCAAAAGATATATTTTGCTGATCAGGTTAGTCTGTTCATCGGAAATACCATGTCGATGTGGACACTAATCACTGAAAATGACATGCACAAATGGTTATGTATAATAATTATTATTATGATTTCAGTTGAAGCTGACTGATTGCATGCCCTCTGTACCTACATCTATGCTCCCTACAGGCACAGTTCAAAGATGTGAGTGAAGCAGACTTGAAGGCAATGGACTCTCAGATCTCAGAGCTCAGTGCAGAGGTGCAATCCCTCACCCAGAGCTGCAGACAGCTAGATACAGGTGGACTGCACTGACTTTTGCAAGTTTACACAGTACAAGATATCTGGATTTTCCACTGTAGGTTACTGAATGCTACAGTTTTGTATGATGTTTCTCTAGTCTGTAGGGACCATGTTTAGTTTGTACTGCATTTCTTTGAAAGGGAATGTTGTGTAATCTTGTGTGAAATCTCTGATTGCAGAGTTAAAGGAGCTCAGTAGTTCCTTGACAACAGAGGAAATGATGTCGGAGATCCAAGAGCTGAAAGCAGAGTGTTCTGGGTACAGAGCGCGTCTGGAGAAGATAAAGTCGGCCACAAATCACGTCACACCAGAAGAGAAAGAGAAGGTGGGCAGTGCGTTTGTTTTCTAGTTACTTCTACATCCCCAATTCCACAAAAGTTTGGACACTGTAAACTGTAAATAAAAACTGAATGAAATTACATAGAAATCATTTAAAACCCACATTTAATTGAAAATCGTACAAAAACAACATATATCAAGTGTTGAACATGAAATTGAGAAATTTTGTTTTTTGAAAAAATCTGCTCATTTTAAACTTTATTCTAGCGACATATTTTAAAAAAGGTGGGTCAGGGACATGCTTATCACTGTGTTGCTTCACCTCTTCCTCTTATCAACACTCTGTAAGAGTTTGGGAATTGAGGAGACTGTTTTAACTTTGAAAGAGATAGGGTTGTTTTTTTTTTTTTGTTTGTTTTGTTTGTTTTTTTTTTTTTCAGGAAGGTTCCGGGTTCACACCCTGGCCGACACAGTGCCTTTCTGTGCAGAGTTTGCATGTTCTCCCCTGTACTGCGTGGTTCTCTCCAGGTGCTCCGGCTTCCTCCTACAGTCCAAAGACATGCAGCTTAGGTTGATTGGAGACTCTAAAATTGCCCCCAGGAGTAATTGTGTATCTAGTCACAGGGGTTTCACGCCAGTGACTTCTGTGTCAGTCCCAAGTCCGGATAAAATAGGGAGGGCTGTGTTAGGAAGGGCATCCAGCATAAAACCGTGCCAAATTACTCATGCAAATTGGATTCGCTGTGGCGACCCCTAATAGGCACAGGAGCTGACGTCCATAATTTCCAAAAACAACATTTCAAATTTTGCCTCGTCAGACCACAGGACAGTTTCCACTTTTGTCTGTCCATCTCAAATGAACTTGAGCCCAGAGAAGGTGTGTCTGGATCTTGTCTATATAGTTTTTTTTCTGTGCACTGTAGCATTGTAACTTGCATTTGTGGATGCAGCGACAAACCATGTTCAGTGTTGAGGGTTTTCATAGGTGTTCCTGAGCCCAGGCAGTGATTTCCACTATTTTTTACACAACTTTTCCAGTCTTTTGTTGCCCCTGCCCCAATGTTATTTGAAAATGTTGTTGGCATCAAATGCAGAACATGCTTATCTAAACCAAAATATATTAATTTGAACATTAAATATACACTGCTTCACTGCTTTATAGTTGTATGCACTGTCCGGCCTTTTTGTTTTCCAGTCTTGGCTTATCTAATGCACTTCAATGCAACACTTCCGCCTTAACATCTGTGTTTATGAAGCACAAACTGTTTCAGTTTTTGGTGAAATTTTCATAAATGTATAAATTCAATTGTATGTTTGTCATTGAGGCCATAGTTAAAAGGTGGAGTTGTACTGTACTACATTATATTTCGAGGTGTTCCTAATATTCTGACCCTCTCATGTATGTAACTGGGGAGGACAAAATACACCACCTTTACCTATGACCTCAATAATAAACACATAATAGAATTTATACATTTATGAAAATTTCACCAAAAACTTAAACATTTGAGCTTCAGTGTTGCATTGAAGTGCATACAGTTGTACAAGTGTGACTATTAAAGACCAGTGTTTCTAATGTTACCAAATAAATATGGGGTAAAAGGCGTTTTTAAAACATCTCATTTGGCTTCTATTTATAATTTACACAGCCCAACTTTTTTGGAATTGGGATTGTAATCTCCTACTGTAAGAAACTTAGCGAAGATACTATTGTTGGTTCTTTTCCATTTGCTGTACTGTAACTCATATTTAAAATTACAGGTTTATAAAGAACGGAATGTTTATGTGAAGGAGTGGAAAAAGAGGAAGAGACTGGTAATGTATACACAATTGCAACAGTTGATTGATTAGTTAACACAGCTTTAAACAGCAACATTGCAATCAATGGAGTTTAAGTAAAAATGTTAACATTTTCCTCATTCCACCTTCTCAGATTTGATGATTTGTTTTTCTTAAGGCTTTAGACAGACAAAATGACTGAACCTAAGAAATCACTGAATTGTAAATGCCATTTTTCAGTCATTATATATTAAAATATTCTGCATTTTATAGACAGAATTATTGGCAGAATAAGACAAGTTAACAATGAACTTGTTTGCAACCCCAAATGTAAAGAATATTTTTTTTACATTTTGTCTTTTTTTTTTTTTACAACTGTAGCTCCTTTATTGCCATTATACAGTATTGTAATTGTAAAAACTAAAACTGTCAGTGTGATACAAATCCATTATTCTGTTCCTTCTATCAGTGCTAATATGAGAAGCAGTGGATGCAAAGGGAGATAAGGAAAAGGCTGCGTACATTTGTGGATTTAACAGTGGGTGTCTCTTATCTCAGCATACAGGCATAACTAAAGGCTTGAAGTTATTTGTCCATTGTTTCTCTCAGGCTTCAGACATGATACATACAATCCTGGAGGGATATCCTAAGAGCAAAAGGGAGTTTCTGGTGAGTGAAAAAAAGCTAATACAATCCATTTTCCAAAACTTTGTCATGACACCTATGGCTTATTTTGTCTGTATGCCAGTGTTGTTCACAGTTGTCATGACACCTATGGCTTATTTTGTGTTCACAACTCTAATGAATAATGTACCTGGTGCTGCTCTTGCAGGATGAAGCTGGCGTGGAGACTGATGAAGACTGCAAGGTGGTTGTTCCAAGTACTTGAAAGGGCAAAAACATCTCATTTGGCTACTTCGTCAGTGTAAGCCTGTGCGCTGCTTGTTTAAGGAGACGGCTTTCACCACAGCACATAATTATAGCCTAAATGTTCAATCTTTAATTCAAGTTGAATGAAAAACCAACTTCTGTAGGTGAAAGTACATTTATATAAGAACAGCTTTATCACATCATTAGGCGGCACTGAGCCATCCCGAGCCTACGTTGAAAATGTCAACTAATGATTGATTATAGTTTTGAGAGCTGTACCTTCTTTGTTATCATCACATGTTCAAGTCTAGCTTATATTTTATTTGAAACCTACATAAAGGTCTCAATGTATAGAAATTTAGACCTGACTTTCAGGTCTCATGGGAGGTTGTCCCATTTTCCTTTTTTTTTTTTTATTAATCAACCCTTGTATTGTCTTGTCAGTGTTATTAAATTTTCATTTGACCATAACCTCTTCAACAAAGTGACCAAACATTTCTTTCAACTATCATAAAACACTGGAGCAAAGGTTTTATAGGTGCACTACAGTGATGGGGGACCAGTGCCTACCTACATGATCTGGTTTTTTCTGCTGTGGTGTGGCTCACTTTATTTCCACATTGTATTTCAGGTGAGTTTAACAGAACAAAAATATTTCTTTACATAGATTGACATCACTCGCATTAGATTTTACAGGTATAACATTGCCACTGAGTGTAGATGGCTTGTATACAAGGACGTATATGAAAAGAAAAAAAAAAATTGCATTTCACTGATTGAAGCAACGACAGTAAACTCTGTGGAAACGAAACTCAAAGCCATTAAAAAAAAAATCATCTGTCATCCATTTTAAACCCACCTGTTTTCTTTGCATGGCCCTGCCCATGAGATCGCCAGGAACCTACGACTGGTGCAGGGTACAGTACCGGGTTTCAAACATGATCAAAAACAATCAGAATATTTTCATCACAGTGCTGCTGACTATTACACCATTTCGAATGTTATTGGTCACAAAAGCCACTGATAACTACAGGAACACAGCATTTGTCATGTTGGCAGTAAACCTGCTCACTTTTCAGCTGGTGAGATCTTCAGTCACCTGAGGAGAAAACTGCAGACGGGGTCTTCAAAATCAATATGCATTTAACCCTCATGCAGCCTGAGGTGACTAGAGGTAACATTTGTGTTTTATTTTTCAAGCCATTTTGGCTGTGTTGAATGAATGTAGCTCAAATTTGCTACAGGTTTTTTTTTTTTACTGAAAAATTGAGGTCTCACTTCCTTAAATTTGCCTAAAATGGCTGAAATAAAAAAATACTCATATGTACCAAGGTTACTGTTATTCACCATTGAAAACCATTAAAAATGCTTTTTTTGATGCCAAATACAGCCCATCATGTCATATTTCAATGCCATGAAGCAATACACCATTTTAAACTAGAGGGTCTCAAAATGCAATTTTAGTAGTTGACCACCAGCCTCTGCTTGAGCTGGACTCTTACACAGAGTGATTCAAAGTTAATGTTTTTTTAGTGTTCATTGTTCTTGTAACGCACCCTTAGAGATAGGGTGAGGAGCTCGGTCACCCGGGAGGAGACTACCACTACTCCTAATGTTTGCTAGGGGGGACAGGCATGTTTGCTAGGCACTCCCATTGTAAAGCAATGCATTTACTCATTTCGCATTGCAAAAATAATAATAATAATAATGATAATCAAATCCTGGTTGAAATGGATTTTTTGGGAATTGTCATTTTTCCCATAAAAAAAATACAGTTATGAAAGCATACTGGCATATAAAGGGTTAAAATTTCCAGAAATATCATTCAGGAACAAGTAGTTTTAAAGGACTGGCCAGTTTAAAGTGGAAAAAAATATGAATTTATGACATTTTTTAAGAGCTGTTTTTATAAGGGGGATACTAATTTGCATTTAGGTACATATGTGTGGTAATTTTTTTTTTAAATCTGCCACTGCCAAAAAAAAAAAAAGCATCAAAATCAGTGTTGTTACCAATCATTGACCCATCCCATGGCCTAATAATAAAAATAATCAATTCCTGGTTGAAATGTATTTTTTGCAAATTATTGTAATTTTTGACATTTTTCCCATAAAAAAATATGAAGTTATGAAAACATACTGGCATATAAAGGGTTAAAAATTCCAGAAATATCATTCATATTTGATATGTATATTTCAGGAACAAGTAGTTTTAAAAGATTGGCCAGATTAAAGTGGAAAAAAATGAATTTATGACATTTTTAGAGCTGTTTTTCTAAGGGGTTACTAATTTGCATTTAGGTACATATGTGTGGTAATTTTTAAAGGAATGCATGAGGGTTAAAATCCTCTGAAATAAGAGCAACATGTAGAACTGCAACTGAGTAAATGCCTATATTTAAACAGACTCTTAACACATGTGCTCAATTACTGTCACAGTCAATGTGTATAAAGAATGATTCACAAATGCTGCCCACACCTGTCACCCATGAAATTTCAGCATCCCCGTCAGCTGATCACAGCTGCATTAATAAAAATCTCAGTTTTGTTATAAAACATGCAGAAGAGTTTGTGATATGTCGAAGCACCACAGAGTGTGCTTTTGATAACACAGGCAGTGACAGTTACCCTGCAGTAGTATAGCAGCGGAGTATTTTCCATTGTCTGCTACAGTTCAGGAGTGGTATGACTGACTCCACACATTTGCACTGAAGCTGAGAAGAGCCCTCTGGTTCAGCATTAGGATGCAAACCTAAGCTTGATGTTACCTCTGTTATGCTAAGGGACAGCTCCTGTTACTGCAGACAGTAACTACAGCATGATGCACACTACAATATTTGGCCTGCCTGATGCATTTAACATACATGCTGATTTGCAAACTCTGAGGTCTTGTGTTTCCCTTGCATTTTTTTTTTTAGCAGAACAGTAAGAAATATAAACAGAAGGGGTAGACATATACTCATATGTATGTACAATTACAATGAGAACATGATCTCTGTTAAACATACAACTGCTCAGTCCATTGCAACTTCTCATCTCTGCCCAGAGTGGGCTACATCCAGGGAGTCACAGATGAGCTAACTGAGTGTAAATACTGTCGGTGGCCGACTGAAGGCTGATTGACATTTATACTCTACCCTGAGAGGCCAAAGCAAACCCAAAGTCAAATTCTGGGAGTTCAAGCCCCGAGGTACCACTCGATCAGTAAAGCTGAACATTGAGTTGCCGGAGGACCCCAACAACAAACTCCTTCAGCGTCTAAGAAAGAACAGAAGAAACACAAAAGCTATGAATATCCCAGCTTGCAAAAAACAATACTGAACGCTATCAGTGTTACAGTCTCTGTAGCCATTTTAACACAGGAACTCTATAGACGGTGTCCGCGGAACCAGGCCTGGACATTGTTCAGACTTCCCCTTTCATGAAATGGCAACCTCCAAGGTTGAGAAATGAAGCCAATGCAAAAGTCCCAAAACCTGCAGTTCCCGAATGGCCACTTGAGGCTGGCTCCACAAGGTAGTCACTCCCCATAGACTCCCATGTTAAATAAACGCATTTACATCCTGGTACAAAAAGTGGTTTTGGTCACTATAGCAAATTTTTTAATAACTAAATTATATTGAGACTAAAAGTTAATTAAGGGTGTGGCTGCATTGAGTGACAGGAGGGTCCTGCCAATGGGTGGGTTTGTCCAGTTTTTACATACAGTCAATGCCTTTCACACATGTAGCACATCACAGGGAATAGGTCAGAGCGTACAGGAGGTGGGACACGACGTGGTCACGTAACCACTTTGTAATTTTTATAAGCAACCGAGTCTCTTGGCACCGGCTGTTAACAACAGTTCCCAAATCTTGTCACGTCTCCAGTAAGATAGTTTCTTTCTTCACCACTGGATGTTTGTATTCTCCTGGTTTCACGCCAGTCACATGATAGAATGTCATTAACAGGGGCTTACTCCAGCTCACTCAGACCTTAGGCGGACTTTGTACTAGGGAGCTGGCAGAGTGAAGTCCGCTTAAGGTCCAGGTCAACTGACTTGGACATTTGCGTTCTAACATACAGCTCCCCCGGGTAATGTCTAGAGAATTTCAGGGTTCCAGTGCATGTCTAAAAAGGACTTTCCAAAAATGTTCCTTACCTGTGGCTTGCAGTGCTCCTCAATCCAGCTAAAAACACATGCAGAGAGTTCTTGAAAGCTGTTCACCGAAACAGTACTGCTGAAAGACTGAAACAGGGAGTCCATGATGTTCTGAAAGATGGTGAACTTGACCTGGTCAGACACCTGATCCTCTCCTTGCTGCGGGTTGTTCTGGTGAGCCTTCACTATATGCTCATAGTTCCTGTTAAGACAGACAATCAATGTTGAGTTATTACAAAATATACAATGTAGTTAACAGCCACAAGTGTTTCATAAAGAAAGAATAAAGCTGAGCCATTTTTCACAGGGCTTGTTTGCTGCAACATTTCAAGCCTTTAGTTGAGGGCATTTCCCTCCATTTTTCAGATGTGACAGTAACTTTACTAAATGCTGTGCCAGGGCTGGTATCAAAGCATTTCCAACTCAAGAGCTTTCTCACTTACGCCTTGATCAACATTTCCTTGAAAATCCATCTTTTCATCTGCCTGGATGCAGAACAGGTATGACTTTGGAGTGCAAATACCTTTATAGGGTTTGCCCTCAAGTAACAAGGCTGTAGTTTACCAACAAATGGAAACTGTAAAATAAAATACAGAAAACAGTGTCTTGGCTGAGAGAGTCCGTGAACCGCCATCTCACGTTTTCATGATCTTCAGTGCCATCACTTCTTTCCTCAGTACAGAGACTTCCTCCTCTTGCTTCTTCTTTTCTTTATGAAGAAAATGGATGTAGTCAATTGCTGAAGAAATCAAACAAAGAGATGCATTATTCAGGGACTTCTATATTACACACAGAAATACACCATTTTCTGTTTCCCAAGAGGTGTTGTCCCTTCTCACCCACCTGACTAAAGTTCTACTTCCTCTTGTAAAGAAATCCCAGCAAGGGTACAGATCTATGTTTGACATGATATTCTGTATCAAGGATAATTTAAAATTTACACCTATGTGTATGAGATGCAGATTTATATTATGTGACTGCACTGAGAAATGAAAACTAAGCCTGCCATGTTCAACCAGTTACGCACCACAAGATCCTACTGGATGCTGTACTGGAAAACTAGACAACAATGCCTGTGTTGAAGGCTGGATAAAAATTCTGACTTGCTTGTATTTACTGTCAAACTGTATTATTTCAAAAATACATCCATCAGTCATATGAGTGACCAAGGAGTGTTCATCCAAAAAGACAACATCACATCTTACTTTTCTGCAGTATGGTAGCCTTGCTGATCTTCTGTGCTCCCACTGCAAATTCAGACTGCTGCTGGCAGGTTGGTACTATTGACTGGAGGTCATCATAGCCTTTCTAAAGCAAGAAAAAAGAAAAGTCATTAATAAGTACTGTGCAAATATAAGTGAGCAACTCCAGTGTCTCAAAGTGTGTGCGGTTCATCTGAGTTGTCACAGAGATCTACTGTACACCCCACTGTACCTTGATAGCATCCCTACGTTTCTGCTCAGCCTGTGTGTGCGCTTGTCTTCGTCGATCCTTATACGAGTCTTTATATGATGTCTCATGTCTATAGTCACTGTCTTCATCATCTGTTCCAGAACAGATTCGCATTAGTTACATGCTACTGACAATCACAGAATACCTTGTTTGGATACTGAAAAATACACAGTGAAGTTAAATTGAATTTCTTAGACAAGATAAAACTAATTGTAAAACTGAGTAAGCCTGGAATTGGAACTGAGTCTCATATCTTCCATCTCAGAATTCATTTCAACAGGATGCATGCTGGGAAGCTTATTCATGCTTCCAACAAGTCATATTGATCACTGCAATGCACTTTAAACTGGCCTATGCATAAAATTTTTCCACAGACAGCAACTCATATAGTAACCAGGGGAGAGAAGGTATAACAGAGGGAACACAGTTCAGCATGCACCACAGTTAAATACAGGATATAATGTTTTATATCCTACTAGTATATTTACAGTACATCATGTGATTCTCTACTGCATCACACCAAGTACACTATGTCCCGTAATGAGTAGCAAGATAGGTTTTTCCTTTTCTAAGCAGTAAGAAACACTTTTTTTTTTTAAAGCTGGCATTTTTTTTTTTTTTTTTTACTTTTACTTTAATGAAAGGTGAACCACAAATTGTATTTTTTAAATAAATTCATAATGTTTAACAGAATTAAGACTACAAGTATATGGAATTCAAGGAAATAATTCAATGTAAGGTGCAGTGAAATAAGCACTTGCACCACAATCTAAACACAGCATAAAGTCTCTTAAAACTATCAGAAATGTCAGATCCACTCTGTTCCAAACACCATACCTGTATTTGGAACGGAAGAGGCACTTGTTGAGCCGATGCTGTTGGCCCTGGACACCACCGAACCCTTTCTGGTTGTTTCAGCAAAGAAAGCTACTGAACAAGGCAGACAACAAAGATCTTTCACTACAGGACCAGACTCACAGACCACAAACACAAGGTCACCATCACATAGCCTAAACATCAAACAATGGTATACAGTACAAACTAACTGAATACTCACTAGGGTCAAAGCCACTGTCGCTGAAAGCACCATCTGTCTGCTGTGCCATCACAAGACAACAGAAGATAGAAAGGGGATAAACAGAGGTTGAGAGGCTGGAATAACAAAGGAGAAAATTGTGCTGCCCTAAATACACTGACAATAGACCAACAGCTAGCTGGCCTCATAGACTGTCTAAGCCCCCACCGAGCATTGCCCTGATTTGTCCATTTCTAGCCCGGGAGACTAAAGACCTGAACTAAATTAGCACTTCACACACAGATCCACTGACATAGGGCAATACAACACAATAGTTATAAGTTGGACCCAGTTCTTTCCCCGATGCATCTAAGGTATCAGAGCCCTGAAAATTCATTCCGTTTCAACACTACATTTGTAAACATATGTTTACAGTGTTTGGCAGTGACTGTTCTCACCACACGCATAAAGCAGAATCCTATTAAAAAAGGTGCCTGAATAAAACACGTATCAGCTGGAACCAACAGAAAGTTTTTGAGAGCTATCTTTTGTTGACATATCACAGACGTATACGTCAATACTTCTGACAAACCAAAACTTACCAAGTAATTTCCTAATCACAATATACAATTTGATGATGCTACAGCAGTGTTTTCCACAGGTAAAATTTGTACGTGGTGGGGCTGTAAAGGGTTTACAAGTTTAGCTAAAAACATTCTGACGGACTCTTAACCAGATCTGTACTTCACTTCCACGTGGACCTTTAACGGAAGGTCCAACGCAACTATGGTAATGATAATCGTTAAAATATCAATATGTGTTGGGTGCAGATATAGTTTACACACAAACGAATCGTAAGAGAGGAGCATGAGTTTCACTTTCGAGACGTTTTGTTTGCACAGCTGTTAAGTAACTTGCTAACTGCTACGTTGTAGCTTTACAACGCTACGAAACGTCAGCAAGCTAACGCTAGCTGCTGAGCTAACAAAGCCCTGCTCCTTCATAACAACAGCAACTGTTCAGCATTGAGTCAAAGACACGGCTGTCGTTTCCCACTTCCGTTGCATAGCAGACCTGCGAATCAATTTAACAATAAAAGTTGTAATAATCTAACATGAGTTTCTTACTTTCCAGTGGTCCTCTGGCGACGTTGTTGGGTCCGTCATTTTGGAATGCTAAATAATTTATGGCACTGCTGCTTTCGTGTTCACCCCGTAAATTCCATGTTCGTACTCTTCAAAAAGTTTTCGGAATAGTGAATTTCATTCACTATCAATGCAGCTAGGACTGCAACTAGTTGTTATTTTTAATGTTTGTTTTCAGTGTCGATTAATCAATATTTATTTACTTTACGAAATATTAACAAGTGAAAAACTAGTTTAATTTTGAACATTTGTTGTATTTTATGTTTTTAAAGTTACATTCTTTATCAGAAAAAATAAACGCAGCTGTAACTGACAAATGTACAGAAGAGTATTAGGGCCACTGCATATTTTTTTTTTAATTCTGACTTTATTCTCAGAATTCTGACTTTATTCTCAGAATTCTGGGAATAAAGAATAAATTATGCAGTGGCCCTAATACTCTTCTGTACAAATGCATGTAGTCCAGTAAAAAAGTTGTCCTTTGTTTCTCTTTTTTTTCTTTTTTTTTATTGAAACAAAGAAACACATTAACAAAACAGTACCGAACATGGGAGACAAGACAACAGTTACATGACATTACAAAAGGATATAGAGTGTTTAACGAGGTTGTAGTGTGTGAAGTGTGGGTATTTCCAACTTATGCAGTCTATGAAATGCAAGAAAGGGAAAAGGAGGGGAAGTAAATAATATATGATGATAACAGTACTATTAAAAAATCAGCTTGTTACATTTCTAGAGGTTGGTGGGAATGTGCGTGGCCTCAGCCCCAGGTATTTGATTCAAATTGAAATGTGTTAGAAATGGGTTCCATATGTCATAAAACGCAGATAATACTATTCTTGTGAGTGGATTCCATTTTCTCTAATGTGATGTATTCTGTCAGAAGGTTGGTCCAGTGGTTTATGTGTAGTGATTTTTTGATTTCCAATTTTGAAAGATTGTTTTCTTGTCAATAGCTGGAGAAATGAGGAGTGGGTTTTTATATTTAATTGGTAGGTGGTTGATTACTATGATATTACTGAGTAAGCAAAGTGATGGAGAAGGAGGGATTCTACAGCCCAAGATGTTGGAAAGTTTCTCTGTCACTGCTATCCAGAGGGAATGAACTGGTTGGCAGGTCCAAGTAGCATGAAAGTAACTGTCAATGCAATCTAGAGTACATTGTGAACAGATGCCTGTGTCGGTAAAACCCATTTTGAATATTTTACTTTCTGTAATATGGGTCCTTTAAATGGCCTTGTATTGTATAAGTTGTAAGTTTACATTGCTGGTCATAGAAAAGATGTTATTGCAAATTTCTGTCCAGAAGTCGGAGTTGAGGGGGAGAGTTAAATCAAAATAAAAACAGTAAAAAAAAAGTTGTCCGCAATATGTTCCTCCCAAAATTTAATAATTTAGTAGCAGTAGTTGTAGCCTAGTAGAAGTAGGCATATTAAGTTGCAAAAATGGAAATACTCATACACAAATCCTACCACATCTTTCCACAACTATAAATATCCAAATAAAAAGTGATAAGGCTGTCTCGCTGACCCAGCTGTATAGAGGTTAAATGCTATGAGAATTAGTTACTTCTGGGACTAACTAACAATCAGTTCCCTCAAATGAACTTTGCAAAGGAGTGCAAGAATTATTGGAGGGTAGTCTTTGTACTGAAACAGGTGACGGTAAAGGTTAGCAGGCTGTTTAGTAAGACACTGTATATTTAACTATTTTCTCTTACACTGCATTCATTTTGAGTCCTATATGAGTCCTACTGTATATGAAGCGTCACTGTATTTTCATATGTCCAAGACATAACATCTAGTAATTCCCGATGAGTCGTCGAACGCAGCACGGCACTGCCTGCAGGACTTGTATTAAAACACAAGGGGGCGGTGCTGGACAATCAATCCACAGTGATGTTTCAGTGGTTTTCTGTAAATTCTTGGCGGGGTGGCCTACATTTGTAATTGATAAATGATTCTCAAAGCAAATTTTTGTATCGGTGGTATCAATACTTTCGGATTGATCCGCCCACCCATAACTGCCATAAACAATCTGGCCTCATCTGAAGAGAAATTCCTCCTGATCCATGCATGCAGACAACGACTCCAGTATAGTGCAGTGGATTCACTGTAAAATGGGAGAAAATGTCATCTGCTTGTTGGTTCATTTTACATATGCATCTGCTTGGTTAGCATATATTTCTTCAGTAGTAGACACACTGGCTATGCTTACTTTCATTCATATGCTACCTTATCTTACTCATCAGCCACCTACAGCATGCATGGTATGCCTAACGGTTACCATGTTTATGTTCCACCCTGCCCTCCGCCCAAGTTCTGTTGCTGTCATGCACAGGAAGTTACTCTTCTGCTTTTGTGCTTCTGTGGTTTCTGTCTATGTCACAGAGGGTGTCACACACACCTCTTCCTCCTGTCACTTGCAGCCTCTGTAGAAATCACCAGTGAGTTTTCAGTCAACTGGTATAGAGAAAAGTCAGTGAGATATAGGACGGTCTTTACCTAAAGCCCAGCTGGCTCCATAAAATTTATTCTTAAAGCTAGGCTACTTGAGAACACAGTGACAGGTTAATGGGAGGACAGACATGACAAACTACCTTCTTTCATCACCCGCCCTGTCCTCAGGACCAAGGCAGAGGCAGTAGGCCAGTGGCTTGATGTTCCTCTCCCTGAAGACCCAAAGACTTGGTTTACTTTAGGCGTGCTTGTTCTTGTCTTTTTTTGGGTGCTCACTTTTTGTCACTGATTTGGAATACACTGATTTCTCAGGAGAAAGAGTTTGTGTAAAGCTTTCCTCCTGGATTACTTGTGGAGATTAGTGATGGGGAATGCAGCTGCTGGGGGCTTGGAGCAGGAACCGGCTGAGGGCCGAGAGGCCAGGAACTCAGTTGGAGCAGTTGCATCAATGAGTGACCCTGCTCCAACTCTGCAGAAGAAACAGCCGGCTCCCCCCAAACTGCCCATGCCCCCAGAGGAGGAGCTGGAGGAGCGCTTCAACGTGGTGCTGGTGAGTGGCTGCACAAGAGACAAGAAGGCACACATCTTTATTGCACATGAAAACAGAGATTATGCACTTGGTGGATTACCAATGCCAGCTTGTTTTTGTAGTAGAGGCTGGGAGAATTATAGAGGTGCATGGGACTCCAAGGCACAGAAATAAGAAAAAAACACATTAAATTTATCAGATTTAAGCAGCAAGTGTTCTGAGTCCTGTTTCGAACATTTACACACTCTGACTCGTTGATGCTGCCAAAGACAATTTTAACTGAGTAAACTAAATATGATGTCGAGGCCTGTTTGTCTGGTGGGTACAGAGAACCAAACTTGGCAACGTATCTGCTTTCATTATGAAGAGTCATTTCACTTAATTGCATTTTGCACAATGGTGATGAATAACTACTCCATCCAAAGTAGGATTATCACAGTAAATAGTGTGATCAACAAGTTGTCATCTTATCCATCATAGTACCTCTTTCCTTAACTTTTTGAGCTGAAAATGTCAGAAAAGGAAGAGAGAGATCAGTGCACACACAGGCAATTCACCCTAAGGGGAAGTTGAGCAACACATTTGCATGAGACACCGGAAAACAACAGTTTCACCATTGTTTCAAAAGGCTTACAACAAGTTGGAAAATATAAAATCTCATAATGAATACTTTAGGCAGTTAAGACACCATAAAGCACAAGGCATCAAAAATGTTTAGCATCAGGGACAATAAAGCACTTAAATCTTTTTATTTTAGTACATATCTCTAGTGGAAAAACATCTAACTTATAGAAGAATTCCTCTCATTTTAAAGCTCTGATTTGTTGGTTTAAATCCATGTTGATGAGCACAAAAAGCTCCAAACTAGAGAGAAGGAAAGCTGTAGACAGTGAAGTCAAACTGACACACTTCAACCAAATACCGTCACTACTGAGTTAGACTCTGACAACCTCTACAGTTTGTCTCACATGTTACACCTAAATGAGCTTAATTTCCTCAGTGGCTGTATTTTTGAAACATAAGCAAAAATGTTCCCATCATTTATTTTTATTATGCTGCACTAAAGCCTGACACCATGGTTTATGGGAAAGGCTAAATCTACTCTTTTTTATCTGGATGAACAGCATGAACTAAATTAAATCTGCTCTCTCTCACTGGAAACCAGTTTTTCTTGTTCTTCATTTAAGACTGAAGCACACATCCACATAGTCTGACCAAAACCAGCAGTCATGGAGATGTTTCCTCAAACAGGTACACCAATTAAATTAAATTTCACAGAAGGGGCAGCATGGTGGTGCAGTGGTTAGCGCCGTTGCCTCACAGCGAGAAGGTTCTGGGTTCGGGACCCACCTGGGACCTTTCTGTGTGGAGTTTGCATGTTCTCCCCGTGCTTGCGTGGGTTCTCTCCGGGTACTCTGGCTTCCTCCCACAGTCCAAAGACATGCAGCTTAGGTTGATTGGTGTTTCTAAAATTGCCCATAGGAGTGTGTGTGTGTGTGTGGCTCAGGGACCAAACAGTAGAAAATGAATGAATGTTTCACAGAAGTTGACAAAGCTTTGTCTGATAACACGAATGTCATAATGCTTGAAAACATGTGTAGTGTGGTTGTAGAGTTAACTATTTCACAAAATGAGAAAAATGACCAAGGTGGCATTGTTGGCATTATATGACAGTATGACCTCACTTCCTTGTTCAGCAAGATACTTCCAATGTAAACTTCAGATGTCATCCTGTACTATTATTTTAAGTAAGACCGCTTAACTAACTCTATAAGGAAATGAGAAGTGGACTTTCTTCCTCATTTCTATATTATTTATAAACATACTGAATTTAAACTTATGCTTATGTAGTACGCTCATGTAGGCTAGGTGAACATGCACAAAAATGTTTTCAGTTTGTTATACACTGTACCCACAAAACCCACGAGATCCCTCCTATGCCCCTCTAGAAGTTAAGCTCCTCAGCAAAACACAAATGGGCCATTTCCGTTTCAGCTTCTCTTTTTTACAGCATGAAAAAGTAGCTACAAACCACAGTTTGAATATACACATTTTGTAGATGTAAGGTCAACGCCCACTGTCAAATGAAATTATTAGTCTTCCCAATAAATCATCACTGTGTTTGGAGACTTTGATCAAGTGCATCAGCAGCATTATGACTGATGTACTGCAGAACTGTTGTAAATCATTTCAACATTTATTAAAGAGTGTGCTTGAACCAATTCTCTTTTTTCACTTTAAAGGTTTTCCTTGTTTCCTCACAAATTCCCTTATTTACCCATAAATCATTCAGTTCTTAAGCCATTTGAATGGGGGAATAACCTTTTATGAAGCATCAAACATTTCACAGCAGGCTGAGGTTAATAACTAACAGTGAAACTGTACTTTTTGGCCACTGAAATGTCAGCTCCTCGAATATTTGAGTCAACATGCACTGTAAAGTTGGTGGAGGTGGTAGGTTTGTGATCCCATGTACAAAGGCTCGAGTCATAATACCAAAAAAATTTGATCACAGGTACACGGTACCCACTGACAACCATCAATACATACATGTAAACATTGAGTCATCTGCGCTTCCGGCAGGTAGTGAACACCCTTCTGCTCGACACCGAAAAGTGCTTTTGTGGTTTTGGAGATTTCAATATTGTTTCACAAGCAGGAAAGGAAATAAAAACATAAATTAAAAACACATAATAAGTGTGTGCTGAATAAATATGACATTTCATTTTACCCAGAATTATATTTTTGTGATTTGCCTACTTCAGATTCTATTTTCCCCTCTTTCTTTCAGAGTTACATGAACTTGCCCCCAGATAAACTGAAGCTACTGAGTCAGTATGATAATGAGAAGAAATGGGAATTAGTCTGTGATCAGGTAAGAGACGTTCTTTCTTTTTCTTGATAATGACTTGGCTTCTCATTTCCTCCTTTGCTTAGAAACTTAATAAGTTGTTTTTTGTACCGGTGCTTTCAGTGAGACAGAGTTGACCAAAGGTACAAATAGTGTCAAAATAGGCGTGTGGCAAAGAGCAGAGTGCAATGTAAAAATAGCACGGTGTCTTCGGTGGTGACTGATGGAGGCGTTGCCATGGAAACAGAGAGTGGTTTGTGTCTGCTGTGTTTACCAGCGCAGGCAGTAATAGCTTCAGATGTTGCGACTGGTAAATCTGTCTCCATTCTGGTCATTACTGGTGGTTACTGATTAAATTAAAGCTACTCTTGACTCAGCTCGCTGTTAATGTAAAGTTAGCCACCTTGGCTAACTCTGGTATAGTGACAGAAATCTAATTCATATGCATTGTCCCTGGTAAATAAATGAATAAACTAAACTAAATAGATGAATAAACATCTATTCCCCAGGAGCGTTTCCAGGTGAAAAGCCCCCCCTCCACTTACCTGGCCAAGATCAAGAGCTTCTACCAGGATCAAGGAGGGGTGTCTCGCAGGGTCAGTGTGAAACATCACCTTCCTTTCATGTTTCATACTATTTTACTTTTTTATCTGTACAATCATATGTTGTCTCTTATGTCCTCGGCTTCTTCAGCAGAAGAAACGGATCCAAGATGCAACTCAGGTCCTTAAAGATTTAGAGATATCTCTTCGCACCAATCACATTGGGTGAGTATGTTAAAAAGCCCTGGGCTCTATTTGATGTAAAGTGCAATTTTATGCAGCTTTATTGTGCCCTTTAGCTATTTTATTTATTCATTTATGGTAAATACTTTTACTCTTCATAAAATCTCTATCTTAAAAGTGATATTTTTTATATTTTTGACTGTCTGTAAAAAAAAACTTACTATACACATTATTTAAACCCTATAAAACCATTTGGATCATATTTGATACTTGAGGTTTCTGAGCAAAATAAATCACCAAAAATGCCCCATGTATCAAATGTGATAAAAAAGAAATAGAAATAATCTAAATAATATGGCACCTCTATTCCTATATCCCTGGACTGTCTGTCTATGCATATATGGCAAATAAAAACCGTGAATCTTGAATTTCGAATCATGAATTTTATTTTGGATTTTGTTAAAAGGTTTAATAAACATCTCAGTTCCAAAAAATTAGAATGTTCTGACTATTTTTGATATGTTGGGCTTTACAGGGTTAAGGTGCCCTGTAAAATTTTATGTTCAACAAATAGTTACATTGTATTCACTATTTTGTGCACCTGAAACTGATGGCAATATTTATCACACTACAATTATTGTTGTTATTTTTATGATTACACTTGATAAAGATTTTGCTTGATGAACACTTCTGGGTGTATCTTAAAGATTTTCACTGCTGGTCATGAAAGTCACCTTTTAAATTTACCTATTGCATATTGTTTTATTGAGATCTTCTATTTTTGCAGATTCTTTCATATTAATGAAATTTATGAATATTTGCTTCATGATGTGATGAAGCACAACATGTCATTGAAGCCTCAGTTTATGCATTCACACTTCTTCCCCACTACTGTCGGACACTGTGACAAGATGCACCAGACACTGTACAAAATGAAAATCAACATAGAAACATTTTGTCCTGTTGAGCTTATGAAGTGTATCAGAAACATGATGCAATTAAATACACAGGGTCAATAAAAGTTAATTTCATTTCACATTTAAAGTCATAAAACTAGCTCAGTAATGGCACTTAGACAACAATAACTACCTGACCTTTTCTAGCATTAGCCCCCATAAGAAGTTAGTTAAATAAAGCTGTGAGAGAAAAATTCCTGAGCATATTGGACTGAGCGAGAGTGCGGTTTACTGCTAATAAATTCAACATTTAATTTATAAGAGCATGTTTGTGTGTATTATATACTCTTGATTTAAGGCTAGCCTGAAAGCAGACTCTACAGTATGATATACAATTACAAAATATCTCTCTACCAAAGTGTTATTTCCCATCATTTATTTTGCTTTGGGTCTTTTTGTAGATGGGCCCAAGAGTTTCTCAGTGAGCAGAACAATGGTTTGGATGTTCTGGTGGAATACCTGTCCTATGCACAAAGTGACGCCTCGTGAGTACCAGTCAGAGTGTGGAAAGTGCCAGAAAGTGGTGGCACTTTTACAGTAAAATCCTTTGTCACCATGGATGTTTTTTTTTTTGTAATTCTAATCTCTATAGGTTTGAGGTGGAGAGTGTTGAAAATGGTGGCACCCTGTCAGACAGACAAAAGCCAGCGGAGAGGTCGATGGAAGACTTGACCAAGAGTTCCAGCAGCTCTCATTCACATGGGATGAGCAGAGCAGCTCGAGCATTGACTGTAAGGTAAGAAGGTCAGCGAGGTAAAGTAGCTATGTAAAGCAGTGTCCCAGACCTGGAGATGTTTTTCTGTATGATCTATTAAATGATCGTTGATACAAATCTTTTCATAAACACAGGACAACCCTGATTGATTAACCAACCTTCTATCCATCCAACCATACCACATTTTCAGTCATCAGGAAGCCTTGTTATAATTAGCTAACTGTACTCAGAACTGTTCTGCATGTATCTAAGTGGTTTTGGGTTCTGAATTCAGATCATTTTCTTAAAGCTATACACTTGTTATCCTTCCACAGATTAAGCAATTTCGGGAGCAAGATGACCAGAAAGCCCCATTCGTCCAACCAGAGAGATGATGTACATGTGTGCATAATGTGCCTGCGAGCCATCATGAACTATCAGGTAGAGCCTTAATATCCTAATAGTGTAAAAACATTATTTCTTAAAGCAAGTGATTTTTTTCTAGATGGCTAAAGGAAAAACAAATGTGACTTTTTTTTTTTTTTTGGAAGTAGTTTGTTTCTCTCTCATCCTAACACATTGGAGGAAGCTGCTTATGTTTTCATCCTTTTTTCAGTCTGGTTTTAACCAGGTGATGAGTCACCCATGCTGCGTGAATGAAATCACCCTCAGTCTCAACAGCAGAAATCCCAGGTGAGTGCATTTTTGTGCAAAATGAAGCATGTGATATGTGTCTGACTGGATCAATTTCTAACCCCTTCTTCTGTGGCAGGACCAAAGCCCTCGTGTTGGAGTTGCTGGCTGCTGTGTGTCTTGTCAGAGGAGGACATGACATCATTCTTTCTGCTTTCGACAATTTCAAAGAGGTGAAATATATTTTTATTACTAATTCCACCCTGGTGTGATGGACTCATTTGACTTTGTTACTTTCACACCATTGTTCCAGATTTCCCCTCTTTCATTACTCATCTTTTCACTGACACAGTCCACCCACATGTGCACTGTGGTCCTAATTTTATTACATGTACAACAGTCATGCATGTGTGTGGAATCCAAAACAACAGATACCTTTTGCATCAATGCCCCCTCACACCACCTCATGGCTGACAATAGAAGTGCATATTCAAGTTAATATTTTTCCTCAGGTGAGCAAAGAAAAGAACCGCTTCGAGAAGTTGATGGAATACTTCATTAACGACGACAGCAACATTGACTTTATGGTAGGTCTACAACTGTAGCACTGGCCTACTGTTTCACAAATAAAGGCACAGTTAAGTACTGAATGTACTTGAGATTTAACTGTCATTGTTTGTTTCCAGGTGGCTTGCATGCAGTTCATAAACATTGTGGTCCATTCAGTGGAGAACATGAACTTCCGTGTCCATCTCCAGTATGAGTTCACTCATCTTGGATTGGACAAGTATCTAGAGGTGAGTACAGTGCACCTAAAATGTCAGGTGGTTCACACTCACTGCCCTCTTAGCCAGGGGTGGATCTAGAAAAGTTTAGATGGGGCACAGACTCAGAAATGGGTGACACATTTGAAATAAATGTAAAAGGTAAATTAAACCCTAGTTCTATGAAACAATAAACCATACATCATTAAGAGTCCAATTGATTATTTTGGGTAAGAATAAGACACACACAGTGTTTCTTTAACTAACTTTAGCTCTGGTCCTTATTTACTCCCAGCCGGTGCCACCCCTGGCTCCAACCATTTTCATAGTATTGTTTTTGTCCATGGTGGGCAGCTATTTTCAATTAAAAAGCTCTGAAAAACCCACTGTACACTACCTGCTCCGCATGACATACAAAGTTAGTCACTACCTAGTGAATATAATAGAACATTTATAATTCTCTCAAGAGTTAGTAGAGACCAAACAGAGCTAGAAGAGTGTGAACACTGGACAAACATTAGAACTGACCAGTTCTTTTTCTCCTTCAATATTGTAAGATGTGGCTATTGTAGTATCATCCAAAATCACAAAATAAATTTCCTACTTTTATACTAGATGCAGTACCAAACACAAATATGGGTTTTGAGAAGATTTATAAATGATTCTAACAGAACCAATCTCTCTTCATTTGAAAAATCTAACAGTATAATAGTCTATTTCACAAAGACTCTGTCAGTACAGCTTGGTTTATAAATATCTCACCTATGTTGGTGTTGTTTAAATATAGTCTATATATATAGTCTATATAGCTCTACTTAAAAAATGAATCAGAATTAATATTAATCCCTATGCCATCTTAAAACATTATTCCAACCATATTCTGTTGTGTATAACAACAGATAGAATATCAGACGTTATAGCTTATAACTGGCAGTTCTTATAATAACAGTTGTATCCCAATTCAACCTTCACTCAGTCATTTCAGTTTTGAAGCATTTGCATTGGTAAATGTAATAAATGTACATGTATGTAGATTAGTACATTATTATTTCAAACAGCTAAGCTACAGTTTATTCCATGATACTTCATTGTGGTATTTTTGTGTGTGTTAGCATCTGAAGCATACAGAAAGTGAGAAGCTGAAGGTCCAGATCCAAGCCTACCTGGACAATGTGTTAGATGTAGGAGCCCTGCTGGAGGATGCTGAGAACAGAGGAGGGGAGCTGGAGAACGTGAATGAACTGCAGGAACACAACATAATGGTCAGCCACAATATGAAGAGGAATATCAGTGAGCAGAAACAAAGGCTGTGATGTTATGATGTTAAAGCAGCGTTGTCTGTCTGTTGTCTTGCAGCTCAGTGCTCGGCTTGAGGAGACTCAGAGTCAGACTGCAGAGAGAATATCTCAACTTGAGACTCAGCTCATGCAGGCCACCAAGGAGACTGAACTGCTCAAAGTAAGTTCTGCTCCATGACACGCACAGTTTTCAATAAGATCGATTAATGTGTGCCATCTTCACAGTAATTATATTTTAATAATCTTACTATGATAATAAACATCTATTATTCTTCAATATTAAATACAAAGATGAATGTTTATATTTGTCGACAAATCTGTAAATTACCTTGCAATTTTAGTCTTATTATCAACAAAGCTCTGCAGATGACAGTGTCGGTTGGAAAACACTTGATCCAGACTGAAATATCTTTGTAGTTATTTAATGCCTTGATATGAAATTTTGATCAGACGTCCCCAGTTCCGAGAGGATGGTTCCACTGAATATTCCAGTAGCACCATCATCAGGTTAACATTTTTAGCTAAGAGTGAAATGTCTCAGTGACTATGAAATGGCTGGCTGTGACATTTGTACATACTCGTGTCCATCTTTAGGATTAACTCTATGAACTTTGGTGATCCTCTGAATTTTCATCCAGCTCCATTGTAAGGTCAAAATATTGCATTGACCAATTTCCTCTAAAGTGACATTCCCATCAACCTCAATATTTTGGTTTGTGCCAATTTACAAATGTAAGCAACACTAATGCTAATCTAGGATAATAAACATGGTGAACGTTACATATAAAATATCAGCATGATAGCATTGTCACTGAGCATGCTGACCATAGATGTATGCTGACATTAGCATTTAGCGTAGAGCACTTCTGTGCTACCCCACAGAGCTGCTAGCATGGCTGTAGACTCTTAGTATGGTTAAAGATTGTGCTTCCCTCAAAGACTGTGTGTTCTGTTCTCTTTGTTGAGATAAGTTGTTTGTACTTACAGGAAAGCCTGAGAGAATCCTGTTCCCAGGTTAGCACACTGCAGCAGAGAGAAAGAGAGCGGGAGCTGGACAGGGAGAGAGAGAAGGACAGGGAGCGCCTGAGCACCTGCACTCCTCAGGCCCACTCAGAGCTTGAGCAGAAGATCCAGGAGCTGCAGGACAAGGGGCTGATCCGACTGGGACGCAGCGCCTCTGGAGGTCTGGACATCCAGGTCATACCTGTCACGGTGGTGGAATATGTCCAAGCCCCGGCTTCAGTCGCCCAGCCCAGTGCTCTGAGCCCTGATGATTCAACCTCCCCAGTGTCCAGCCTCCCTAACTCTGCCTCTTCCCTTCTGCCACCGCCTCCTCCTCCTCCTCCCCCTCCTGGTGGTTCAGGCCAGATTACCTCTCCTCCTCCACCAGCAGCTGGTTTTGTGCCCCCACCTCCCCCTCCTCCACCTCCTGCTCCTGGGTTAGGGGGTCCACCTCCTGCTCCTCCTCTGCCTGGTGCTGGACCACCACCTGCTCCTCCTCCACCTGGTGCTGGACCACCACCACCTCCTCCTCCTCCTCCACCGGGTGCTGGACCCCCACCTCCACCTCCCCCACCTGGTTTTGGACCTCCACCCCCTCCTGGAGCACCAGGCACTCAACTCGGTAAGGAGGTTGGCAGAAGAATAAGTTGTGAAGTAAATGATCAGTAAAGACTGTATTTGTCTGATCATCCCTCTTCTTTTTCTGTTTCCTCAGGGCTTAAGAGCAAGAAGGCCATTCAGACCAAGTTCAGGATGCCACTGTTAAACTGGCAGCCCTTAAAACCAAACCAGGTGACAGGTACTGTCTTCAATGACCTGGATGATGAGCAGGTCTTAGGGGTAAGGACATACATTCTTCAGTTTCCAAACGCCCTGTACAGGGTATCATAACGGAAAACTACAGTTTAATGTATGCACACTTGAAAAGATTCTCCCTCTGCTGTTTACGTCAGGAACTGAACATGGATATGTTTGAGGAACATTTCAAAACCAGGGCCCAAGGTAATCCAGCAGATCTGTCTAATATAAAGAAGAAGTCAGTCAAGAAGATCCCCACCAAGACATCCTTGATTGACCCAAACAAGGCCAAGAATCTGGCCATCACTCTACGCAAGGGAGGAATGAACCCCTCACTTATATGCACCGCCATAGAGACGTATGTGTTTCTGTTGCACTGATATTTTTAAATGATCCTTGTCACAAACAGGCTCACCTAGTCTTATCCAGCACACTAACTGATGTCACTATTTCACACAGGTATGACCAGAAGTCTCTGTCCATAGACTTCCTGGAATTGCTCGAGCACTTCATACCATCAGACTTTGAGATGAAGCTGCTGGTTAATTACGAGAAGGACGGTCGTCCCCTTGAGGAGCTGGCTGACGAGGACAAATTTATCTTACGCTTTGGGAAGATTCCTCGTCTGAGCCAGCGGATAAACACCCTCACTTACATGGGCAACTTTCCGGAGACCGTCAAACGCCTGCAGCCGGTGAGCCTGTCAAATGCTTTGCAACTTAAACTGAAAGAGTCTGAGATTTTAACCACACGTATTTATTGGGGTTTTACTTCATCCACAGCAACTGAACTCCATAATTGCTGCGTCCATGTCCATCAAGTCTTCAACCAAACTGAAAAAGATCTTAGAAGTAAGTAAATGAGAATGACATACTTATGTAGCTCCCAAATGTGTGATTTTACAAAAGGCATCTCATGTGTCCCCCTTCAGATTGTTCTCGCCTTTGGCAACTATATGAATAGCGGTAAGAGAGGCGCAGTGTACGGTTTTCGGTTGCAGAGTCTGGACCTTGTAAGTAGCCTTTGTGTTGTACATTTACTTTTTCACTTTAAGAACACTCGAATAATATCAGTGCCTTTGTTTTTCAGCTATTGGAGACCAAGTCCACCGACCGCTCACAGACGCTACTTGATTTCATCACTAATATCATCCAGGAAAAATACTCCGATCTGGCCAACTTCCACACGGAGCTACACTTTGTGGATAAGGCAGCCCTTGGTACATGCACACACACACACACACACACACACACACACACACACACACACACACTCAGGCTTTGCAGTTAACATATCTTGCTAATTAAATCAGAAATGGTACTAAACTCATTTCTGTTTCATGTCCAGTATCCCTGGACAGCATTCTTCAGGATATCCGCTCACTGGAACGAGGAATGGAAATGACCAAAAAGGAGTTCCTGGTGCAGGATGACAGCCCTGTGTTGAAGGAATTCATCAAAACAAACAGTGAGCAGCTGGAATCTTTGATCAAAGACAGCAAGACAGCACAGGTTAGTCTGCCATCCATGAGAAGTACTATACTCACAACTGTGAAGAACACAACTGTGAAGAACACAACACATACATATAAAAACACATTTGCTCTGTCTGCTGTCTCCCTCCAGGAGGCTTACGGCTCTGTGGTGGAGTATTTTGGAGAGAACCCTAAAACCACACAACCTTCCATGTTTTTCCCAATGTTTGCACGCTTCATAAAAGCCTACAAGGTAAGGAATGTGTGTAGATTTCTGATATTTATCCTTTACAATTGATCCATTGTGTTTTAATCTGTTTGCCCTTGTTTGAACACAGACAGCGCAGCAAGAGATTCAGCGGAAAAAGAAAAGGGAGAGCGAGAGTAGTGAGGGAAAAGAGGCTTCATCTCCAAACAAGCCTGCGGCACAAAAGGTAGAAGATCGAAGGTTTAGTGTACTGTAAAAACATTATTTATCAGATGTCCTAAGCACACAGATCATTGCCTAATAAACTTGTAACTAAAACCCAGGACACACCTGTCTGAGGGTAGCACATTCTACAGTGAATGTACACTGAAATTAAATAAGATTTATTTTGTGACTTTCTAGGGGCCTATGATGCCTAAGATGCCCCAGATGGACCTGATAGCAGAGCTGAAGAAGAGGCAGGTGAAACCACAGGTACGCGAGGGGAAGGACGGAGCTCTGGAAGACATCATCACAGGTACGTTAACTTGATGTTGACTGGAGGGGTCACATGGGGATGTTTGAATATGTGCTCTGCATGGCTTTTTAAATAAGGTGGAAACCCTGCCTTCATCTCAGTAAGCTTGTCCTTGCTTTGCCTCAGACTTGAGAAACACACCATTCAGGAGGGCAGACGGTCGACGGCCAGCACAGCGCCAGGACACCTGAACCATTTGTGGTCCAAGACTTTTACACAAATCTGTCAGGCATTTACAGTGTTCTGTATAAACGGAACGTCAAAAATATATAATTAGCCATAGGGCACTATGTATTTTCATCAACATTTTAGTGTGAATTTGCTTTGTAAATAGAATTTTGTTGCAAGTATGATATTTTTGATGCAACAGTGAAATTTTATTCCAAATCTTGTGACAAAGCTTTTTAATTATTTCTGTGGTGCCTCATGGTTGTGTATGCTCTAAATTTGTGGGGTTGTTACCTACAAAATAAGAAAGTAAACATGACTGTTTTAAAATAAATCTTTTTTTAAATCATTGTTTCTGTATTTGTAATTTTTTTACAGTGCCTTGCGAAAGTATTCGGCCCCCTTGAACTTTGCGACCTTTTGCCACATTTCAGGCTTCAAACATAAAGATATAAAACTGTAATTTTTTGTGAAGAATCAACAACAAGTGGGACACAATCATGAAGTGGAACGAAATTTATTGGATATTTCAAACTTTTTTAACAAATAAAAAACTGAAAAATTGGCCGTGCAAAATTATTCAGCCCCCTTAAGTTAATACTTGGTAGCGCCACCTTTTGCTGCGATTACAGCTGTAAGTCACTTGGGGTATGTCTCTATCAGTTTTGCACATCGAGAGACTGAAATTTTTGCCCATGCCTCCTTGCAAAACAGCTCGAGCTCAGTGAGGTTGGATGGAGAGCATTTGTGAACAGCAGTTTTCAGTTCTTTCCACAGATTCTCGATTGGATTCAGGTCTGGACTTTGACTTGGCCATTCTAACACCTGGATATGTTTATTTGTGAACCATTCCATTGTAGATTTTGCTTTATGTTTTGGATCATTGTCTTGTTGGAAGACAAATCTCCATCCCAGTCTCAGGTCTTTTGCAGACTCCATCAGGTTTCCTTCCAGAATGGTCCTGTATTTGGCTCCATCCATCTTCCCATCAATTTTAACCATCTTCCCTGTCCCTGCTGAAGAAAAGCAGGCCCAAACCAGGATGCTGCCACCACCATGTTTGACAATGGGGATGGTGTGTTCAGGGTGATGAGCTGTGTTGCTTTTACGCCAAACATAACGTTTTGCATTGTTGCCAAAAAGTTCGATTTTGGTTTCATCTGACCAGAGCACCTTCTTCCACATGTTTGGTGCGTCTCCCAGGTGGCTTGTGGCAAACTTTAAACAACACTTTTTATGGATATCTTTAAGAAATGGCTTTCTTCTTGCCACTCTTCCATAAAGGCCAGATTTGTGCAGTATACGACTGATTGTTGTCCTATGGACAGAGTCTCCCACCTCAGCTGTAGATCTCTGCAGTTCATCCAGAGTGATCATGGGCCTCTTGGCTGCATCTCTGATCAGTCTTCTCCTTGTATGAGCTGAAAGTTTAGAGGGACGGCCAGGTCTTGGTAGATTTGCAGTGGTCTGATACTCCTTCCATTTCAATATTATCACTTGCACAGTGCTCCTTGGGATGTTTAAAGCTTGGGAAATCTTTTTGTATCCAAATCCGGCTTTAAACTTCTCCACAACAGTATCTCGGACCTGCCTGGTGTGTTCCTTGTTCTTCATGATGCTCTCTGCGCTTTAAACAGACCTCTGAGACTATCACAGTGCAGGTGCATTTATACGGAGACTTGATTACACACAGGTGGATTCTATTTATCATCATTAGTCATTTAGGTCAACATTGGATCATTCAGCTGTTCACAAATGCTCTCCATCCAACCTCACTGAGCTTGAGCTGTTTTGCAAGGAGGAATGGGCAAAATTTAAGTCTCTTGATGTGCAAAACTGATAGAGACATACCCCAAGCGACTTACAGCTGTAATCGGAGCAAAAGGTGGCGCTACAAAGTATTAACTTAAGGGGGCTGAATAATTTTGCACGGCCAATTTTTCAGTTTTTTATTTGTTAAAAAAGTTTGAAATATCCAATAAATTTCGTTCCACTTCATGATTGTGTCCCACTTGTTGTTGATTCTTCACAAAAAATTACAGTTTTATATCTTTATGTTTGAAGCCTGAAATGTGGCAAAAGGTCGCAAAGTTCAAGGGGGCAGAATACTTTCGCAAGGCACTGTAAGTAAGTGGTGGTTTGACCTGAGTGATAATACAGCATCTGCCATTTCTATCCACATTTGCTGATGCTATAGACAATGCAAACATTTCCTGACAGGACTGGAAATTAAAGCAATTCAGAATAAAGGAAGACCAAACAACACAACTGTACAAGAGAGCTGCACTTTATTAGACACATAATCACAGCAAATTATATACAAAAGAAGGCAGGTTCAACTGCCTACTGTCTTCTCACAGGAAAAACACACATTTCTCACAGAATATCATGGCATCCACACCAATAAATTTATAGTTCCTGTATCAGTAGGTTTTTAAATTTATGTATCTTTATATTATAGATCTATTTTCTGTATTATTTTTGTTCTTATATCACACTACTCTACAAATAAGAGACTCACTCTGTGGAAAGAGTTCACCTTCATGGTCACTAGTGACTTCTCTGGTTGGGGTGTGCTCAAGCTGTCTGAATCCTTCTAGACATTGATCACTCTCAGCCGCTACCGTCACCCTCACTGTCACATAACATCACAGTAAGACTGAACATGCCTGTATCACAGATACCAAAATAATCTTCATGTCTGTAAACCTCTAACATACTATATAACTGTTTGTCCTTTTCTCTTTTTCTCATTTTTGAGAAAATACATAGACAATGTTTTTTTTTCAACTGTACCGTGCGATTGCTTGAGATTATACATGCATTGTTTTGTATATACCTTTGTACCCATCGTTATGGTTTAATTAATAAAACATCTTCTTTTGGACATAATTTGTTGAACTCGCTAGGAATGACTCTGCCTATATACAAATTAATTTAGTTTTTCTACTTTTGATGCCAAGACTTTTGAACATCCACACGTTCATGTAAAAATCTCATAAACACTATAGAATGTAGGTTCATTATAAAAAAAAGAAATAAATGGCAAAACAAACAACAGCTTAAGTTCCTACAACTTCACATAATTCCCTTATTGATCCATCTTTGTGGTTTTAACAACTTGTCATTTAGCTTAACTGCTACTTAAAGCCATTTGCTGTGACGACATGTGCACAGAAAACAACCAACCTGTTGTAATGATAAAGAGTGTGATGTTTCTGAATGCTTCTGCACTGAGCATCCACACTGCTACCATTCCTGTTCACATACAAACATGACACCGAGGAATAATTAAAGCCATCTAACATCTATCAAAGCAGCAAGGCTCTGTGTGGAGCCTATGGGCCCATTAACTAACCTGTCACAGTAGTCACTACATCTGTGTACCCCCAGTCACTATCTGGCCATCTCCAACATCACTAATACCAGTTGAATCACAAACAGAGGATGAGGTGACAGAAAAAAAAACCTAGCCCCCCTAAGACAAGAAGATAGTAGCAAAATAAGCCCCTAAGCACAGGCACTGGACCAGCCTCTTATACCCAAATGTGATCCTTCACATAAGGAGGCAAAGGTGCTGATAAGCTGGATGAGCATTTTCAGGGACACGCTTTTCATAAATCAACATAAACTCAGTGTTTATAAAGAAAATCCAAATTTTACAATTTAAAAATGAACTTCAGTGTATATTACAGAAGCTAACTTATTTATACAGAGAGTTTTAAACAAATATAAAAACATTGTGTATGAATAAACAATCTCATTGTGAAATGTCACATCTCAATGAATTAAAAAAGAAATCTGTACAAAATGGTCACTAATATAAAACTGAAGAGATGACATTTTACAGTATATAATTTAAATCTAGTCATATATATATATGTGTGTGTGTCTCACACATTTCTTCACAATTATAGTGTCATACACAAACATCTCACTTAGTTATATTTATATATGTATATTTCTTCTATGTTTGATTTCAAGTTAGCATGTGTTGTCTGATTGCCAGGGGCATCCGCTACGAGTGTCTTCGACATGCCTTCGAAGCCTCTAGCCATGTTGAAATCACAGCCCACTAATACTTGTCTTGAGAAATAAAATGAAAAATCCAGAAAGCATTGTCACACAATTCTGGGAGGGTTTCATCTTAGACTTTACTTAAGAAAGCAGGCAGACGCAAATGCAGCAAATTCAACTCAGAGCTATGGATTGGAGTGTGGAACAGCATGAGTAAGTGAATTTCTTTCATTTGACTTCACTCAGTATGAAACCCAAGCCTTGAACCTGCCTGGCAGCTATTGAACACCCAGGGTGAGGCTTAATTCGCCGCGCTGTGAGCTAGCCGTGCTGCACATTGCCAGAGTTGGGGGAGTGTTTAATCAAATGCCACTGCTGCAACCTGACACACTTTGTAAGAGCTGTTTTTCCCCCTTGCAAAAACAATGGGAACAGGCTAATTTTTGCAACCTCTCCTTTGGGTAAGTGTTATTCTGTCAATGCTGCTAATCTAACATTGTTAAACAAGATCAACTGTGGATGTCTGGCAAGGACAGTCTTAGAGGCACTGGGAAAACATCATTATAGGTCCTTGCAAACAAACTGGCAGGAGTTTCTCAAAGGCAAAAAAACACTACCTTGGTAAAACTGCAAGAGTGATAATTACATATTGCACACTGTTCATAACTGAAGCCCATCAAACTCTGTCCTAGGGTAGCCTTAGCTGAGTGGTTTTTTATTTCATAGATGCCCCACGCCAAAGATAAAGGAAAGTGAAAAGGGGCAGAGAAAGAGCAACCACTTACTGTAACAGCTCTGCGACCGTTGGTCTCTTCCACTCACAAGCACCCTAGATGGACACAAGGCAAGTCAAAGCTGGCCTTATTAAAGTAGCCTTCAAACACATCCCCAAACTAATCCTCTGTCCTCAAGCTGCCTACTTTATGACACAAGTCCCTTTGCATGTTTTAATCACAATGCCACAAAGAATCAATTTTTCACAGTCATTCTGGCGGAAAAAACGCTTCATGACTGTTCATCCACCTCCCAGTGGACAACCTTCAGGCAACTACACAGGACAGGGAGTTTCAAAATGGTTCCTTGTGCAGGGTTTAAACTTAGGGAATCACTGACAGACGCCTGATGTCCTACTACTTAAACTGAGGCACAGCGAAGGCCTAACATTCATAAATGTTTCATGTTTCAACATGCAGTTGAAAAAAACAAGGTAACAGCAATATTGATAATCTAATGTGCATCATTTCGAATATGCCAGGATGGTTTTTACCTTCAGGAAACATTTGTAGCTTTGTGCTCATCACCATGAGACAGATTCACAAAGTTAAGATTATCAGAAAGTGTCATGTGTTTGAGAGGAAACTGTGCTTACTTATTATTTCTGTATTCTCCTGTATTCTCACCCTTAGATGTTGAAGTTCACTACAGTGAAAGATAGCACTGGCTTTACAATAAAGCCTGCAAATTGCTGAACAGTTTGAAAGCTGCTTCTAAACTTTGAAGTTCAAAAGAAACAACAAAAGTAAACACAGGTTTGTAGATTAGATTCCTAAAAGGGTGAAATCATACTCTGGTAGAAATGGCACATTTTACCAGAGTGCTATTATCAGTGGTGCAACAATTGAATCATCCCACAAAAAGCTAGTAGACTCTGCTTCTGCAAACAGCTTGTCTTTACAAAATGGGCATATTATTCATCATTGTGCGTGCTCGAGTATTTGGGATGACTTGTGATGTCACAGGGACATGTGAGATGCTACTGTGGAAACATCCTGATTGTCATAATTAATTAGTTTGTACGCATATACAAAATTCAACACTTGCATTTTCCCCTTCTGTTTGTGTAACTGTGCATCCTTGCTCTGTTTTAAACAGAGGTGTGCTGTCATAGGACTGTTCCCTATAAATGTGCTTATGTGAATATAGTGTGACACTTTTCTACAATTAATTCCAAATTTTTGAAAAATGTATGCATATACTGTAAATGTTTTAACAGCATGGCAAGAACTAAAAGTAGACAGTGGAGTGTACACTTGTAACAGGATGTGAGTACAATCTCTTTACACAGTGTGTACAAACGGAGGGGAAAATATAGCACCAGTTCTGAGTTTAAATCGTGTGATGCAAGACGAACTACAAATGCCCTTTTAACATAAAACAATTTGAACCTACATCACCGTGATCTACTTTCAATATTTTTTTTTTCTTTTGAGCAGGCTCACATTCTGCCTGGTGATGCAGGTAAGTGAGATCAATATTATCCTGAACACACACAACTACCAGTCTTATTTGGTGATTATTGCAGCTCTATTTTCTATAGTAAAGTCACAGTCTAGATATTATATCTACGCCACTAACAACCCATTGAGTGAGGGCATATATGAGACTGGTGTTGTCAGCAAATCCGTCTGAACCACATCAGCTTGTAGCAGGCAGCTGGGGAGGCCCATTTGTGCACTCTCTATCTGGGAATTGGCAGTATGACTGCGTGGGAGAACTGCAGAGAAACCATGGAACCAGCAGTAGCAGGAAACTTGTCCAAGAAGTATGCTAGTTCTTGCCGTAGGAGTATGAAGACTGCCTACTGGAGTGAGGCCAAAGGGGAAATAAAAACAAAAAACAAAAAAACCCACGAGTCCTGAAAAAAATTCATTCCTATCTATAAAAATGCTGGGATTTTGTCTTCAAGGTTCATGATGTGATGCTGTTTCAAATGCATTCTCCTATGTCCTCATCCTCCTCCTCTTCATCACTGACAGCTGCCAGTGGTGATGTCCTTATTCACAGGTTCGCTGCCGCCATCCCTGTGACTTTTGGGGCTGGAGCTGTCAACGCTATGATTGCCAAGCTTGAGAACTGCAGAGGAGAAGGGGAGGGAACCGAAAAGGGTAGGAAAGGAAGGAGATAGGGCTGGAGAAGGGGAGGTGGGTGAAGAGGAGGAGGACTCAGGGAGGGTAGGGAA